ACCAGCATCACGTCCAGTGCCATGAACTATGCGTAGGTTCTTCCTGTCCCGCCACTCCGCTTTGCGACAACTAACCCTTCCAGATATGAGGTACAGGAACCCCTCCGCACCCACCCTTCGTCGAGCCTCGGCTAAGTGTCGCAGAACGGTCGCAGATACCATTCCTACCACGAGGGAGAATACGTCCTGGTATGCCCATTCGATCATCCACGTCGCATCGCCCCTACTGATCTCACAGCCCAATGATGAACAAGAACAAGATCGTCTCGACCTGGTTAGTGGCGCATTCTGAACCCGACGGGCGAGTTCAGCGTTGACCGGAACAGAGCCACCACATCTATCGCATGCTCTTCAAGGGAGAGCTGAATAGAGCACCCATCAAGAATCCCGCGCGCGTACTAGACATTGGAACCGGCACGGGAATCTGGGCGATCGACTATGCCGAGTAAGCAGGGACATGTGATACCTCTGACAATCAATAGCGCTAATGCGTGCTGGCAGCGAGCATCCCGAGGCAGAAGTGATCGGTACGATGAGCGACACGACTAGGAATGATGGATCACTGACAAGATGACGCAGGAAACGATCTCAGTCCAATTCAACCGTCCTGGTAGGTATTGCCAGCTGCCATTGAGGTCCCGCCACTGACCGTGCAGGATTCCGCCGAATTGCCGGTTCGAAGTCGATGATTTTGAGCAACCGTGGTCCTACAGCAAACCTTTTGATTATATTCACGGTCGGGAGCTAGAAGGCTGCGTTCGCGATATCGACAACCTCTATCGCCAAGCTCTAGAAAATCTGAAGCCGGGAGGATGGATGGAAATGGCCTCCATGGAGGTCAACACATACTCGGACGACGATACACATTTAAGGGCCAAGAATCTGCTAGAGGGTATAGTCTATATGCATGACTGCGCTCGGGAGTATGGAAAAGATATGACCAGTGTGCACAGCTGGAAGGAGAAGATGGAAAAGGCCGGTTTCGTCAATGTCCGGGAAGAGATCTTCAAGGTATGATTCCCGACACATTGTGGCTTAATATCCAGACTGACGGTCGCAGCTCCCCCAAAGCCCCTGGCCGAAGGACCCCAAGATGAAAGATCTCGGTCGCTATCACCAAGTCAACATGTTCGAGGCGCTGGGTCCGTACTGCTACGCGCTGTTCACGCGCGTGATGGGCTGGGAAAGAACGGAGATTGAAGTTTTTGTCGCCGGCATGAAACAGGAGTTGCGCGACTTGAATAACCACTTGTACACGAAAGTGCACATTGTGTACGGGCAGCGGCCGGAATGACATGTGGTGTGAGCATCTCTCATTTTGTCTGGTGTCGGTTGTTTTGATTATCGGGGCTTTTCTCCTTCGGATCATGTGATATGAGCCCATTCATTAAGCGTCTTTTCACGTCATGTCCAGTACTACTTATCATAATGCTTGTTGAATACGATGTAGGGTGACCTACAATGAATACACCACCATACTTTATCCCCCTCTGCTTGAGGGAATTCACCGACACTCTATACTCTTGATTCCGATGCTGCATACCACTAGTCATCACCCATAACCATCCCCTAATCCCCCTCTTCATTTAAACCACATATCCCCTACTAACCTCCCCCCAATCCCTAACCGTGAAAACCCTTCCTCATGTAAACATATCACATTGAATATGTCGTGGCACGATGTTGTTGTCTGCGTCGGGTTTTTGTGTGGGTGCGACTTCGCCATTTGGGTCTCGATCGTGTGTTGCTCGCATGTACATGAGGGGTAGTTGGTGTGGGGTGACAAGCTGATCTTTATCAATTAGGATTGATGCTGGGGAGGTTGACACTCATCAAGTAGTACTATGTTATGTGGATTTGGAATCTCGCAATAATGTAGACTGATGCGGGGTGGTAGGACACTTCAATGCTGACAAGTCCAATTTTGTCATGATGTTAGGGATTAGAAGCACGCGTATCATTATTGTTGGATTGTATAAGTGGTCTACAAGAGCTACAATAAATTCGTTGAGTGTGTTATGCGCTACGGCTATAGAACCAAATGAAAGTTGATTCGCCAATTTCAAACTAGCTGAATGGATATTGTGTATCCCCTGACATCTTTAATTGATATATGTTTCCATTGTTCCCACTCTTGTTGAGGTTCTCGGACTCCTACTCATCTGATCCTGCTCGTAAATGTTTGATCTTATTTCTTGTCATTGAGCTCCTGGTTGTCTTCGTTATACTTTATATTATATACCCAGAGGGAACAAGTGACAAGCACATGGATGGTACTTAATAACATTATGATGTGTAGTAGATTTGAACGGCTACAGTGCCATACTGTTATCATTATAAGCATCCTTCTCTGACCACCGACCACTACTATATCTGCCCCGATCAGTCTCTGCTCTTTTCAGATATGCTCCGCCAGTGGGACTGGATCCTCCATCATAACAGTCCGAAGTAAATATTCACTTGTCGCACGCAAATAGACCACTCAACAAAGTAATATCTTGTCCCGTTTTTTCTCTTGAGACCAAAACAAATTAGTCATTCGATATCCCTGAAATACTGAGAATGATGTACCAACGACTGTTATCGGTTCCGATTTTGACTACCTATTACTCGTGTCCTCACTGCCCTGACCAGGAGGCTTAGCACTTACTACTCCTGGCGCCAGCCCACCGGCTTGCAGCCACAGTATCATGCCATTTTCCTGCGGACTTACACAACCAACCGTTTATAGAACCTCTACGTGAGCTTCTTTCTCCGCTTCCACCTCGCTATTTCAGTCGGAATCCTCTCCATATACCCCAAATGTGGAACCACGTCCCAGAGATATGTCTGGGTCGGGGAAGAGTTCATCATCGGTCGCGTTGGCGGCACTGCTGAGAGCAAGAACTCGATGGAGAATCCACTGTATATTGAGAAGCTCCATAGATGGAAAAGGATAGCCTACTGGGTCACTGGTCTTGAAGGTGATAATGTCTCCAGAACAAAGTCTCGCGCCCGTGTGAGGGTTTTCCGGGATGGTGTTGTAATAATTGTTGTTGCTCGGCACATCTGGAGAAATATCAATGGATAACAACAGTGGTAGAGGGGGGTGGGGGGTACTTAAGTGCTATCTGTAGTCATGGTGGCCTAGTTGGCAACTCCGCAAGCCCTGGACAATCCATTCAGGAAAGCTTTGTACATTGGGTCATCTGTGGGTGGCATGATATTAATAGAGGATGTATCGATGCAGGGGTGTATCTGTGGTTGGATCTTCAGTCCTACAGTCAGTATTTTAGACAATCTGTCGTCGATTGATCCGTGTAGTGAACCACTATTCGTGGGGTATTCGCAGCACTCGCTGGAGCCCCCATTATAATTTATACCATGCAAGAAGTGTGTAGGCTGGTTCCCCGCCAATTGCGAGGTGGCGGTACTTATTTTCAGCTGCGCAGTTAAACTGGCAGCGTAAGGCAGTGAATATTAGTCACTGACGGAGATAATTCTCAATCATTTTACCGATAACGCCCTTGATGAGATGGTTTCGGACCAGAGTGTCATTGAAATGGTGTAACCTTTCTATCAGTTAGACGTGGTAAATGCAAAATGTATTATTAGACTTACAGTCCGTTGTTATCCCACTATGATGACTTGTAAATAGAAGCAAGCCATGCGTAGAAGACGAGGTGGTACCAACCAATATAGTGTCCCTTCTTATGGCCGCATATCGTATCTTTCAATAAATAGGGGATGCTGCTTATAGGTCCCGTCGTCAATGTCTTCCGATTGTGTTCTAGTGTACTTCGGAATTAATAGAAGGGTTGCATGGAAGAACACCTGTTGCTTGAACAGGATAGTAGGTCTAGGGTGTCGTAGCTCTTTAATTTATGCAGGTCTCCTTAGAAGAGCATCTCGTAAATTTTCATCCATATATTCACTATTGCAGTACTCTTTCCTCCTTGTAAAGCCTTGAGAATAATACTCCCGACCTTAACAATTAGTATGCTCATTTCGGACGTCCAAGGTCGCATTTCCAACGTATGCTATCTTTCTGAAAAGCTTTCAACTTGTTCTCCGCATCTTGCTGTGGATTCAGCAAGTCATATTGGTACTGCGGAGGATTTGTATGAGCTAAGCCAGTTTTTGTAGACTTCGACGCTGTCCTCTGGTACGTGCAGAGCTTCTTCCGTGATGTTCGTGTCATTGCAGCTCTGAGTATGAACATTGCATTTTCTAGCTCGGGTTTCGAGATCACCGGTTGAAAGCTTTCTGGAGGAGATATTTGTCGGTGCTCTGGTGCTCTTTTGCTTTCCAAAAGTGTGCTTCATCTTTTATATATGTAGTGGGTGCTCTGTGGCCTAACCGATCACAGTAATGAAGTTTTGCGAACATATCCAGCTGAAGAATAAAGCGTTGGATCGTCGTTTTATCTCTCGATGAGACCCATGAGCCTATTTCGATATCGGGGCTTGTTTTTGTGACCAGTTTATCAGCAACCAACGAGATCAGTTAATGTATATTTCATCGTGGGTGAGTTTCAGAACAGTGACTTAGAGGTAGGGCGTCCCATGACTCAACATACACAAATATATCAGGTTACATAAGCTGAAAGGTACTGGTGGATGCAGTCATTGCTTACTTGCTGTGTGATGTAGAAGGAAAATAATAATCGACATCGAAGAAAGAGAAGAAGACAAATTATGTAGACCGCATGGAATACGATGTCGAGTGACTACCTGGCTTGAATTCGAGGATGGTAGTATTTGTCAAATATGCACTCGCGGGTAGACGGATTTCACTAGAATCGGGAAGCAAATGGGAATGACTACGTGCTAGCAATTCATCATGAAGATGGGTGAGGAATGTGGCTTTATTGAATAGCCTGGCCATTGCATGAGATCCCTGACCGGTCGTTCCAGGATTTTTCACAAGAAGTGCAGGGAACAATACACCTGGGAGGAAAAGAAACGGACGAGCCCTAAACATCATCATCTCAGAAATATATTCCAGTGGATAAGTGTATCTCAAGCAGAATACAACCTCTGCAACTGTACACTCTCCCTTTTATCCGCCTTCTCCGCTTTGCCCGAACCCAGAACCTTAGACGGATGAAGTACGCTAATCACAATCATCGCAAAGAACATCAGCATCGCATCAAAAACATAGCTGAAAGCCTCATGGCTCATCAAATATCCATCATTCCCGCCAGCATACTCGATCATGCGAAAAACCGACCGTATCAAGATTAGTATACTGGCGATATATAATCCTACCATAGTCGTCTCCCAATTAGGGGTGCGCCAACCACTCCGCGCAATGCACGTAGACATCGACTTCTCTGTGGGATTTTGATGGATGCGATAGTGAAAGAGTGTCGCAACTATCACAAAAACACTGAAGAAGATGAGTTGGATGGCTAGTCCACCCATGATTACGTTTTCACCGGTGGTCATTCCGCTGAGAGTGCCGCTGGCCATAATGCCGCCGCCTAGAGTAAATATTAGTATGATCAAGATACAGATATAGAATGGATCTCCTACCAGCTCCTTGCAGAAGAAAAGATAGTACATCTCCAGTGACGAAAACCGCCGTAAGCCATCTGATTGGTACAAGACTCAGTCTTTCCGCGTCGAGGAGAGTAATAAGCCGTCCGAGTGTCATGTAGATCGTCGCAGCATAGAGAGGTGGTGCGAGTAAAATTAGGATAGCTTGCATAGCGTATATGGGTATGCTTTGGGTGTTGCTATGTGCTAATGCACGCGCAATGTATCCAATGATTTGGACTGTGCGGTAGGTTAGCGTGAGCCGGTAACTCGATATGCGTCTTCACGAACATATTCCGCCCAGCACAAAGCAGGTAAAATACCAGGCTCGCGCTTGGGCCATTTGGTAGGCATGATAGGCTGTTATGAAGATGAACAAAACTATGAAGAGAACTGCTGCCGCCAAAGACGGGGTGTAGCGATAAAGCTCGTGTGAAGACATCGGGCATGCAAATCTCTGGCTATGAAGAAACCTGGTGCTCTAGGAAGTGTTTCAACTTTCAAAAGCCTTTATGACGGGGATGCTATGCGATGGACTAAATGCCTGCTCTGTCCAGCTCTTTTTTTCGACTCATGTCAGCCTTTTTGGGGTAACTTGGCATATCTTCAAGGAATAGGGATAATTTATGTCGTTAACATGATAATAACCAATTTAGATCTAATACTACTTTCATCAGCCTAGGATAGTATATACGTATGACAACCGCACTAGCCCTCAAATAATTGAACTCGTTCTCGCTATCGCTTCCCTGCGTGAAGGGCATTCGTTGGGTTGCCGAGTGCTCGCCAGCAAGTTTATTCTAATCTTAGTGTGCCTGGCATTTGGGATCGGAGTCTGGTGGGGTCCAATACGTATTACTGGCTAGGCTGATACTTCGACAGCTGTTGAGATTGGACAGCATAACGTTCATAAGTAGGAAAATAGGAACAAGCAATTACCAACTCTGCTTTGTGGTAGGGGCAATCTATCTTTGGGGAGGGCGGAGACTAACGGATCCACCGCCTCTCCACTCGATCGAAAACTTCATCGCCGGCACGCCTTCCTCGTTCTCGTTCTCGCTTCCGCTCTCGTCTGTCGTATATTTCCTGTTCCTCGCAGTAACGTCCGATGCCAACACCACTCCTCTCGGGATTGTGTGAAAGTCTATCTAGTCTAGACTTCATTCGATATGCCTCCGCGACGAGCCCATACGAAGTCCCGGAACGGATGCGACCAGTGCAAATCTCGTCGAGTAAAAGTGCGTGTCGTTGTTTGCTCTCCTCAGCCTGGAATTTCCGCTGATCCCCACAGTGCGATGAAGCTCAGCCATGTGCCAACTGCGCGAAACGACACCTGACGTGCACGTTTGAACGTCGCCCACCCAAACCCGAGCCGTATCCCAGTACGCAGTCGGGCAAATTGTCCGAGTCGCCGACCGTTTCATCAAGAACCGACGATGCCATTGCCGCCTTTCAGCATCAAGTCGCCGATGCATCTGCTTTTCTCCGCGAGTGGGGCGCGCAGGACCCCGAATTGATGCACCATTATTGCATCTATGCCTCAAAGACTCTGTCTGATCGGGAGGTGATCCGTGATGTCTGGCAGATCGAAGTGCCAAAGATTGCCTATTCGTACGAGTTCCTCATGCATGGCATCCTGTCGCTGTCGGCCCTGCACTTGGCGTACACTAGACCCGAAAGATACAGCCACTATCTCAACAGCTCCAACTTCCACATGGCACTGGGCCTGCAAACATTTCGCATTATCTTGCAAAACCCAACCAAACAGAATTGCGAGGCACTCTTCTGCTTCTCAAGTCTGATCATGGTATGGACTTGTGGAGCTCCGACCGATCTGGGCGATAGCCGCCCCTTGGAAAGTATAATCCGCCTTTTCAACCTGTGCAGGGGAATCATGACCCTCCAACCATTTATGTCCCACGTTGAAAACGGTCCCCTGGCGCCGTTATTTCTAAGAGACTTTCGTTCCGACCCTGGCCCACCCGAGTAAGCTCTGCCCCATACTGTAATCTGGCGCATGCTAACCGACAAACAGAGACCATGTCCAGTCTCTGCACTTCCCAGGATTGGGCGATCAAATAGATGCGATCAGACAATTAATAGCATCAGAACCTCTTAGTGAGCAGGAGAGACTCATCTACCAGCAGGCCACTGACTGTCTGGAAAAAGCATTCTGGCGTTTGCAGGTTTGTGAAAAGCCTGCCCAATGTGGCATCATTTACATGTGGCCGATCAGCGTGCGGGATGAATTCGTAGGCTTTCTGCTGGACAAAAGCCCGATCGGTCTTATTCTGTTGGCGCAATATTGTGCCCAGTTATACCTGTTTCGTGGGTACTGGTTCGTAGAGGACCGCTCCCGCGAGTTGCTGTCTGCAGTAGCTGCTGCCCTACCGTCACGGCTTGCACACTGGCTGGACTGGCCAAGGCAGTTTTGCTCCAGCGGCACCCTTCCTGAGTGATGCTACATTGCTTTGTTTCTCGGCCCTTCAACTTCTCTCCTCACACTCAAACGGCATCCATGGCCATCGCCTGGACCAGCGATGAACTAGCCCAAAGCGGTTAGAACACCTCCTGACCCTCAGGCACAAGTGCCGGCCACCAGGCAGCCACATCCATTGCTCCTCCTTTTCATTTTTCCGGATCCACGCCTGTCTGTGCCCGTCGCAATGAGGGTCCGTTTAATTCCAGTCGCCCTGGTGGCTGTCGGCATATTTATTTTGACCTGGGGTATGTTCCTTTTACTCATCGTCCAACCAGTACGCTAATGACGCGTTAGCTGTACTATCTAAGTCCTGGACAGGCTCCGGCGAAAATGTGGCATTCTGTGCGGATTGCTTAGGCTATGTCAGAGATGTCGATACGATGTTTCAGAAGAATACTGGAGCTTGGGCCAACCCGCAGTTCTTTCGTTACGCACTCGATAAGTCGTGTCGAGGTCGGGTTCTGATTACCGGTCGATGTCTGCAGTATCGACGCAGGCTTCTTGAGAAGCCAGCGATTTCCATGTCGCAACTTGATAGTCCATATGAGGCCTGTAGGGCCATCCAAGCCTGTAAATAAATATTATTATCCTGATTCCTGTCCTATGTCCGATTGTTAATATTCAGGACTATTGTAAAGTGTACTTGGCACACTTTCATGTTTCAAGGTCGAAATAGTAGACTATAGATCTATCCTTAGTATCGAGATGTAGCTCTTGACCAATCGGCCATGAGCCAAATGGATAGAATGACTGGAAATGATTCGAGTTCCTCTATTGATTCTGTGACTTGCGCTCACGTGGCTTTCGTAGTGACGTATCCTAGATGAATTCGGGCTTTTTCGTGAATCTGGCGGAACATCCCGTTCGTAGTCACGCATTTTTAGTGACGATTCTTAAGCTGCTTCACGGATACCCCAGTCACGTAGATATCGCAGTCACGTATCTGACAAATTCGCATGTGCTGATTCACGAAGCTATATCCACTGACCGCCTGGTCATTGAAGAGGGCTTCTTGCCTGGGTATAAATGTCTCTCATCCTACCTCCCTCCCTTCCTTTCTCTCTTCCTCCTCTATCTCTCTCAAGCAGCTCATCTCACTTATGTTTCTTCTTATATATATTCTTGACTTCACCCTCACCTGGTGAGAAGCTCAAGCAAGAAACAACACCTTAGGTCGATGGGACATGGAGGACATCATGATACCTCCCAAAGTATGCTTCTTCTCTTGACAATTACCCCTTTATACATCATGGCTAAAGGTGCAAGGCAGCTTACCTTTTCATCGCTGGATTTGTACATCATCAGGTCAGGCTTCTTGCCTCACAAGATTCACACGTTTGGCCATATCTGAGTGTTTTGTCTGTTCACACGGCGGGCTGTCGCAGCAACTACTTTGAACAGGACCCGCTTTAACATGTGTGGCTTGTTTAGATTTGACCAGTGTGTTATTGATATTTTCACACGCTGTCTCGTTCCATCTCTCTATCACTTCTTCCTCTTTGCTTCTCTGACTGTTGTGTTCTCTGATGGGGCTGCTTTTGAGCCGAACACACATAGATCTGGACCATCCAGTATGATTCTGCCCCAGAAACAAGCTACTGCATCTTGCTTCGTGTTTCGTGCTGACTATTATCTCTCAGCTAGTCGCATGCCACGCAGACTCGAAGAGGATCTGTCACCTTGATGAATGTCCTTCTATACTGCGATCAAGCAGAGGATCGTCGCATGGCTTATTCCGGTGCCTTGCTTAGGAGAGCCCACAATATAAGCGTGGTGTGGCTAGTATGTTCATGTCTCAATGTTATGGTCAACTGAACAGTTTGACAGGTAAGCCTCTATTTCACGAAAGTCTCATGAGTGATCAAACTCTGATAATATTATTCTCCAGTCAGCACAAGTCAGGCAGAAGAAGCGGCATACAATGCCGACAGAACTTGGAAATCTGCTATACATTGCTCAGAATGCTGAGCAAGATTCACAATGCTGCCTCCCTCAAAGGCGGCGATCCGATCGACTCAGAAAGTTAGGTAGATCTTGTTACGAGAACCGCTTCGGTATTCAGCTTGTCAGTGACGACAAGTTATTGTCCGCTGTTGCTGCCGATGACTTACGGACTTGGCAAGAACATATGCAAACAATCTGCATTTATTGCAAAGTCCATTCTAAACAAAGTGTTATTCATAGCTTCCAGAATCATCCAGCATGTTCTACGCTATCAGACGTCAGGCCATCATGCACGCTGGTTATCACGGAGCTATCGGCTAAAAAATGCGGATTACCCGAGCCAGGTCTACATGGCAGGACTGAAGGCATCGACTTAGTCAATTTGGCTGCCTCACTAGAGCATCGTCAGCACCATTAAGCCACTGTGCTGGGTCGGTCGGCTTTTCTGCTACCAAACCTCGTTCTGATAGTTGAAACTGAGCGAACCCAACCACCTCTGGCATGACTGTCTGTTATTGCTAGACGCGTCGTTCGATAATATCTGTGGCATCTTCCAAGCATCGGCCAAGCATCACGCGTTGCTCGGACAGAATTTGGCGACGCATTGTCGGTCCCGCGGAGCGAAAACAATAACCGTCATTTCGCTCTTTCTCAGGAACCTCAAAGGATAGGATCCAGTCAGACTGAGGACTGCGAATCGGCTTGGAGCCACTGCTACACAGTATCGCTTGCGAAATATCTTCCGGACCCAGACACTTCCTACCTTTCTGTGACTGTGTTATCGGCCTTGACGACTGATTCGAGCAATTGAACCAGCTCATGTGTTCCCTGAATCGTTACCGGCCACCATTATGTCTGATTTAATATGTCTGATACACTAAACATCTCATCTTCGGGTCTTGCAAATTAAATAGAAACTGCAGATCCAGCAGTCTACATCTACGCGTTGTTCCTATCCGTCCATCGAAACCGCTATACTGCAACGAACTTGGTATCCATTCCCATGCGAACAAGAC